AAAATTATTACTAAAAATCAAAAAATTTTACTGTATGTGTATTATTAGTTTTTTTCTGCATTTAGTAGAATATGTGTTTGACTTGAATAATGAATAATACAGTGAACCCAGTATCTAAAATAGCACTGTAACTACATCCAAAAATAAAAGATGAGTTTGGAATGAATTGAAGAAGCGCATATTGGAATATTACAGTTCAAGCTAAGTTTTATTTAATTAATATTTGTTTTACTTTGATAATAAAGTGAAGTATGATTACTAATTGTTTTTGTACAGTAATCACAGTTGGCTATGTAAAATTCAAAGCTGGAATTAAAATGGAAAACAGCAGATTGGATGATCAACAACATTTTTTTAGTCTGAAAAATTACAAAATTAGATATGTTTTTTATATCCTCAAGTGTCCTATACATTTTAGTTTCCTAAAAATGGATTGCTAATTGTTTGATGTACTATGCTCACAGTTAGCCACAAGAATTCAAAAATGGACTTGGAATGGCCAACAACAGATTATATGATCTGAAAACATTGATTCAGGATGCAATATTACAAACCTAAAAGGTAACCAAACCCCTCTATTATATATAGTGTAACTTAGAAATTCTATGTTTACATATTCAACTATAGTTAACTACAATGTGGTGTGGTTTATATTCAACTATAGTTGACTAAAATCCTACCCTAATAGAAAAGTAGTAGGTGAATATTGGCATATTATCAGAATATCATTAGGTTTAGATTGGGTATAAATAAGTACTTTGCTTTTCACTAAAAATTAGGTTTAACCTCAATAGATAAATCATAAAAGTAAGGAAACTTACTGGTCATCTTCGATCAGAAAATCCACAAGTTTGGAAGGAAATCCAGCTATAACCATTTGTTTTGGAGTGTAGAACTCCACAACTATACCAATGACATCTATAATGAAAATAAGGCCATTAAAAAGAATAAAGTTGAAAACTAAAACATAGTAAATATAAGATAAAGAAAACAAATAATAGAAATAATATAAATCTTACCAATCGAATGCTTGTCAGACACACTGCCAGACATCAAGTCCGAAAAAGACTTAAGCCTAAACAAGAGGTTGGGAAAACCTTTTCACCTGTGTCTCTCTACATGAGTTTCATGAGTGAATCTAATCAGGTATGTGTGATCAGTGGTTTTGTACTGATAGTAGTGTGAGATTACTGCAAAATCCTTGATAGCATAAACCTTGCCTTCTTTGAACAGTTTAGAAAACTGTTGAACACAATCTTTTGGAATATTTCCATGAATATATGTGCCGTATGAAGAAAGAAAAAAAATTGTTACAAACAATTTTTTGGATTTTTATTTTCAGTTGTACTGGAAAAAAAGAGCTTACCTCACTGTCATGAAACAAACATTCTTGGCTTTTGATGGATTCTGAATTTCTCCCTTCTGGTACATTATAGGTACGAACTAATCTTAATTTTATTGCCTTTTTGTACGTAGATATCCCTATATCTTTACCTTGAATGAAAAGTGGAGCCATTTGTAGATTTTTAGAATTAGAAAATTTGAAAGAAATTTGGATCAACACAGCAAAATGGGAGAATGGCGGTAGAAAATGAAGAAATCGTACCAAGAATTTATAGAGCCAAGTTTAGAAGTTTAAATCCACACAGCTTAAGCATGTTTGCAGATACATTATGATTGTATCTGGGAAGAAGAAACGACACATCTGAAAAGCTGAAGAAAATTTGAATTGATATATGTATTTATGTATTTATATGTTATATGTATATGTATATATTATTGGTCCCGATAGGGTGGTGAAAGTCTAGAGGGGGGGGGGGGTGAATAGACTTTCAAGCTTTTTCAAAATAAATAACTCTTTGGTAACTTCAACTCTAAGTAACAAGTAAATAGAGTAAGTTTAAAACTGGACAGCGAAATAATAGAATGTAAAGAGTTATGCCCAACCAATAATTTAAATGCGCATGTAAGAAGGGTACAAATGATATGTAAATGACAGAGATATCTTGAATATATAAAGGAGATGGTGCACTCAATACATAATAACAATATTCAAGATTGTAAATAAATATCGTGTCACGTCAAACGTGTGACGAATGTTACATGCAACACATCAAACTTGCTTAGAATAATCCAATATTTAAGCTCGAGAAGTTTGAGTCACATGCATACGTAAAAACACACTAAACACGAATGAATAAGATTAACTGTGAATAGTAAACGGGTTAGTCGGATAAGATAGATAGATAGAGCAAATTATGTAAGTGCGGTATTTAAATGATGAGAGAAGCAATTTATAGTGGTTCGGAAGTGGCGTAATCTTCCTAGTCCACTTTTCTCCTTTCACGTCTAGGAGAAATTTACTATTTTCCACACACAGTTACAATAGTGAATAAGCGCTACACAAGCACTTCTTCCGGATGTCTTGCACACAGCTACACCCAACTCCGAGTGTCTCGCACACAGCTACACTCAACTCCAAGTATTTCGCACACAGCTATACTCAACTCCGAGTATTTCGCACACAGCTATACTCAACGCCAACCAAGTGTCTTGCACACAGCTACACTTAGCAACTACGAGTGTTTTTGCACACAGCTACACTCACTAGAGTATTTTGCACACAGCTATACTCTTTCTACAATTACAAATACAAAGGTAATTGTATCTCTCTCCTACTAGATTTGAGACTATTCAGACTAAGTCTCTAAGAATATTTGAGCACTTGCACTTTTGAATTTTGCACTTGTTTATCCGTGTGTATGCACCTCTGCTTGTATCTTCAAGTCTTCATGGCTTTTTATAGGCAATCAAATATATCCGTTGGAGTGGGATAATTTGATATTTTGAATTTTGAATCTTCATAGCCTGATATTGTTGACAATAGTAGATCTTCAATTTTGATTTGATTTGTCAACTTGCCTGACAAAATAATATTTTAACACAACTTGATTTTCTAGTTGTTTCTTAAAATATTACTTTAGTTGTCAATTTGAATATCCAACGAATCTTTGAAATAAATTCAACTGATAGAATTTATTTCTAGGATAAGTTTTTATATTCATGTCTTCATAAATATTTTTCCGTTCTGATCAAATATCTTCAGGCAATTTTGGATTCTTGTGGCATGTGGGCTGATCCAAAATAAATTCCTTCGAATTTATTCATATTTTGAACATCTTGCTTCTCTGCCACATTGTGCTCCTTTGACTTGAACATTGTGCTCCTTTTGATACATTGTGCTCCGTAGCACACATTGTGCTTGTCCGCATCGTGCTCTTTTGGTAAAACTGTGCTCCTTGAGGAACATTGTGCTTGTCCGTAAACTTGACTTAAAAAATAAGTCCTTGGGGGGGAATCGATCTCAAGTGTGATTGTTTTGAGTAAGGACTTCTACCATTTCGCCTTTAGGCTCATCCAATCATTTCTTGCAACGCCATTCTTTTATGCTTCTTTCTCGGATGAATACTCGTAGGACCAAAATTAATTTCTCAAATTAATTTTGTTCTTCCTATGGTAGATTCCTTTTGATTCGATATTCCGATTTATGATGCTTGTACTAAAAGATCTAAAACTAAGGGGATCTAAAGTACATTTGGCTCATCAAAACTTACAAAAAAATTCCTATCATATATGTAATATATCTCTAATCTGTATGTATTCGATGAAGATCTTTACGTATAACCGTATGCTTTGTCAGTAGCATTTAAATTATTGACGACTGAACAGATTCCAAGTTAATTGGGACTCCAAAAGGGGTTCTAGTTATAACTTTAGTTTTCAATTCCAATACACACACAATTATTTGTTACATTTATTATAAAATAAATCAGAAAATGTCGACTTCAAATTTTACATAGTCCAAACGGCACCGTTTTTACCGGGCGGGAAATTGCAGCAATTTCATTAGCCAAAATCTTATGGCTTTATTGTATAGTAGGATATCAATTTAGACTTTTAGTTAAAACAGAACGCATGTAGTCCAATACTATGGTTAAGTTTGGTAACCTTATAATCAGTCAATTTTAACTTATTTGATCATTATTAGCTGTTTGATTTGGTTAAACAACCCATATAAGTGTTTGATTAATTAGTTTTTGTAACAACTTATTGTTCCAAAATGCTAAAATTCATAAAACTGTTCAAAGTAGCTTTTTCAATCAATCTTTTGAAAAACTCATTGTATATGTAATTAGCTATTAGCTAACAACTCATTTACCAAACACTTTTCTACCATCAATTAATGCAATTAACTAGTCAAACTCACTAATCCAATCAGCTAACAGATATTTACCAAATACTCCCTATATGTTGTCTATGTATGTATTCACACTCTACCACAATGATAAGGATAAGATACCAATACTTACCGCTAAGTGATGATGATGAACTACTACATACCAAAAGGCAAAAGCATAAGAGGAGGAAGTAGCAAAGGTTGAATTTGAACCAAAAGGTGAAGAAAAAGAAGACTGGGTTGCAACAAAAACTCCAAAAGAAGTGTTGACCTCAGGTGAATTGTCAAAATGTTAAGTGCAAAAACCATGTCCTAATCATAATGGGTATTATAATCCAACTATGATTAGGATTAACAAACCTATTCATACACAAGCTAAGGATATCTGATCCTATAAAAGAAGTCACTCTCAATCACAAGAAATCACGCTTTCAACACCTAACTGTGAGCACGAGAGTCATTGAGAAGAGATACCAAAATTCCCTTGAAAAGTAGTACAAGTGTTTAGGTTACAATAATTTGATAGGATATCATATTGTGTAATCCCCGTTCCTTAAACTAAGTGTACTTTAAATATCAAGCTTTTAGTGGATTTAGGCAAATTCTCAATTCGAGAAGTGCCTCGCAATTTAGGGTTGTTTGCCCGAACTGCGTTATAAGTTTATTGTGTCACATCTCCAGTTTCAACATACACGAATCCATCATCTATCTTAATTTCAATTGGTATCAGAGCAGGTCTGCTCAAGTTATTAGCAGGATTCAAATGGAGTTCCCAAGAGAAGGTCTTTCAAACAATAGACCACCGGCTCTACTTGGCACAAACTTCTCCTACTGGAAAGCTCGAATGCAGATATACATTCTAGCACAAGGAGAAGGCGTCTGGAATGCAATAGAAAACGAATGGAAAACTCCAGTTGATGACAAAGGAAATACAAAACCTAGAGTTGACTGGAGTGAAGAAGAAAGAACTGAATATGACTTTAACTCAAAAGCTATGAATGCAATATATGGAGCGGTAAGCGAAGACACATTTAAGCTAATCGCATCAACTCGCATAGCCAAAATTGCATGGGGTATATTGTGCGATCATCATGAAGGAAACACAACTGTAAGACAATCTAAGCTTCAGATGATACAAACTGAGTTTGAAAACCTGAAAATGGAGGAGGAAGAAAACATCACCCAATTCAGTGCCAGAGTTTTAAGCATATCCGGAGATGCATTCAACCTAGGCGAACCTATACCCGAACATAGGATCGTCAAAAAGGTACTACGTTCACTACCTGGGAGATTCCAAATGAAGGTCACCGCTATCCAAGAAAATAAAGATCTGAACACATACAAACTTAGTGACCTAATAGGAAATCTTCAAACCTATGAACTTGAGATGTTACAAAGCCAGAAAAACAATGGTAAAGGAATAGCACTACAATCCAGACAAGAAGAGAACTCAGAAACTGATTCAGAAACCTTGGAGCAGTCAATCGCCCTATTGACAAAGAATTTTAACCGAGTTCTCAAAAAGTTTAACAAGTCCAGGAATAAAAATTTTCAAAACAGCCAAGGAAATTCTACGAATCAAAAACCATCCAATCCAAAGAGAAGAGATAATACAATTACGGAAGGAATACAGTGCTATGAGTGCAAAGGCTTTGGACACATTCAATCAGAATGCGCCACATACTTGAAAAGGAAAAATAAAACATATATAACAACACTGAGTGATGACTCAGATAGTGAAGAAGATGATAACAACACGAACTTCTTAGCCTTTACTGCTAGCCATGAAGACAACAAAAGCGATGACATGCAAGAGTTACTAGAGGCATACACTCAACTAAATGCCAAATGGGAGCAAATCATCAAGAAAAATTTGGAACTCATGGAAGATAATCACTATTTAAAGAATGAAAAAGAGCGAGTAGAGAAACAATACAATGAAACCCAGAACGAACTACTAGACCTCAAGAACAGAGAAACAAAACTGCTACAAGAAATTAAGGAGCTTACCGAAAGACCCGGGACTCCAAGTACGGACACCAGTGAGAATAACCAATCTGAAATACAGGAAGTGTCGCAACAGCACTTCCGACATCGAAGAAGAATAAGGTGCTACTATTGTCACAAACTAGGACACATCAAAGCACATTGTTACAAAAGACAAAATGACTGTTACTACAGACAAAACAACCGAGTATGGCTACCACACAACAGAAATAATAGCAAGAAAGTCTGGGTAAGAAAAGACCAAAATGTCGCATACACTTCCAAAACAAACAAGGAGCAAGATATATGGTATTTTGACAGTGGATGTTCCAGGCATATGACTGGAAATCCAGAAAATTTAGAGAACATACACTATAAAGATGAAGGATATGTTACCTTTGGAGATGGAGGAAAAGGAAAAATTATTGCAAATGGAATCCTGAATGTACACAGACTGCCAAAACTGTCAAAAGTCTTCTTAGTACAAGGGTTAAAAGCAACCTGATTAGCATAAGTCAACTATATGAAGATGAACTTAAAGTGGAATTCACAAAAGATAGCTGCAATGTTCTCAATCATAATCATGAATGTGTTATGATCGGAAGAAAATCCACAAATAAATGCTACACATGGGACGGTGATCTATCTTGCCTACAGACAACCATCAATCAAACACAACTATGGCACCAACGGATGGGTCACATAAACTTTCATGACATGAAGAAGGGTTTAAAAAAGGGAGTCTATCGAGGAGTTCCAACACTTGACATAGATGAAAACAAAAAATGTGATGCATGCCTTGAAAACAAAATAACCCGAACAGTCCATAAGAAGACCTCAGGAATATACACTTCTAGAATACTAGAACTACTTCACATGGACTTGTTTGGACCAACTCAGACAGAAAGCATAGGAGGAAAAAGGTATGTCTATGTAACAGTTGATGACTACTCACGATTCACGTGGGTAAACTTTCTTAAAGAAAAATCTGAAGCATTTACAACATTCAAGACTCTCATTATCAAAATTCAGAATGAAAAGGAGGGAAGAATAGGGAAAAATCATTCGCCTAAGAAGTGACCATGGAAGGGAATTCGAGAATTCAAAATTCAAGGAATACTGCATAGAAAATGGAATCCATCACGAGTTCTCCGCACCAAAAACACCCCAACAAAATGGGGTAGTTGAACGAAAGAATCGAACCATCCAAGAAATGGCAAGAGTCCTCTTAAATCACAAAAGACTTCCATCAAAATTCTGGGCAGAAGCAGTTAACACAGCATGTTACTTGATAAACCGAGTATTCATTCGAAAAGAAACTAACATGACACCATATCAAATCTGGAAAGGAAGAACACCAAATTTAAAACACACACATGTGTTTGGAAGCAAATGTTATATTCTAAACGATAGAGAACCATTGGGAAAGTTTGATATCAAAGGAGATGAAGGGATCTTCTTAGGATACTCCTCAAACAGCAAGGCATATCGAGTATATAACCTTAGGACAGACACTGTCATGGAGTCTATCAATGTGGTGGTCAATGACACAACAGAAGATTCCCCCACAAATGATGAAGAGATAACTGTTGTTGAAACAACAGTTCCAACATCGCATAACCAGAATTCTAAATCAGAATCATTAGAAAAAGAAGAAGCTGTAGATCCTGAAGAAAAGATAGAAATCCTCACCACTGATGAGACCAGGGTACAGAAAAATCATCCAATAGAAAACATTATAGGAGGACTAAATGAAGGAATTAGAACTAGAGGAAAGAAACGAGACTATCAAAAATGGAAGAAGGAGACTATGACTACTGCTACACCTCAAAAATTGAACCCAAAAACATTACGGAAGCATTAAAAGATGAATTTTGGGTAGGAGCTATGCATGAGGAATTACAACAGTTTGAAAGAAACAACGTTTGGCAGTTAGTCACTAAACCAGAGAATGCCAATATCATAGGGACAAAATGGATCTACAAAAATAAAACAGACGAACAAGGGAACGTTATACGAAACAAAGCCCGACTAGTAGCACAAGGATACACCCAAGTTGAAGGGACAGATTTTGAGGAAACATTCGCTCCAGTGGCCAGGATTGAATCAATCCGGCTTCTCATAGCAGTAGCCTGCATTCTCAAGATAAAACTCTACCAAATGGACGTAAGGACGTTATTCTTAAATGGATGTCTAAAAGAAGAGGTCTATGTTGCCCAACCAAAAGGGTTTGAAGACCCCCATTTTCCACAAAGTGTTTATAAACTCAACAAGGCACTGTATGGTCTAAAAAAAGCACCACGAGCATGGTACGAACGTCTCACAGAGTTTCTAATCAAAACGGGATACAGAAGAGGTAGCGTGGACAAAACTCTATTCGTCAAACACTATGGCCAAGACATAGTAATTGCCCAAATCTATGTTGATGACATAGTATTTGGATCAACACTTGAGAAGCACAAAAATCAATTCATCACCAACATGGAAGGAGAATTTGAGATGAGCATGGTTGGAGAACTAACCTATTTCCTAGGTCTACAAATCAAACAACAAGACAGTGGGATCTTCATATCACAAAGCAAATATGCAAAAAACCTAGTTAAGAGGTTCGGACTAGAAGAAAGTAAAGTTGTCAGAACACCAGTTCCAACAACAGAAAGAATCACAAAAGACATAGAGGGTAAACAAGTTGAGCAAACCCTATATCGAAGTATGATAGGAGGACTACTCTATCTAACTGCTAGTAGACCAGATCTAAGCTTTGGAGTAGGAATATGCGCAAGATATCAAGCAAATCCTACTGAACAACATTTAAAAGCAGTAAAAAGAGTCATTAAATACGTTAAAGGAACCACCGAATTAGGATTATGGTATTCCTTTGATACCAATCACCATCTATCAGCTTATTGTGATGCCGATTGGGCAGGAAACCTAGATGACAGAAAAAGCACCTCAGGAGGTTGTTTCTTTCTAGGAACGAATCTCGTATCTTGGATAAGCAAAAAACAAAGCTCTATATCATTGTCAACAGCCGAGGCAGAATACATTGCAGCCGGGAGCTGCTGTACACAGTTACTTTGGATGAAACAAATGCTAGAAGATTATGGAATACATCAAACAACTATGACCATACACTGTGATAACAAAAGTGCAATAGACATCTCCAAAAATCCAGTGCAACACTCAAGAACAAAACACATCGACATCAGACATCATTTCATAAGAGAATTAGTAGAAAACAAAATTATCAATCTCACACATATCAACACAGAAAATCAACTTGCAGATATACTAACAAAGGCACTTGATGGGAATAGATACGCTAAACTAAGAGCCGAAATCGGACTGTGCACATTGTAATCAAACACATGGGCAAGTCATTCTTTATATAGATATTCATATATATATATATATTAAAAAAAAAAAAAAAAAAAAAAAAAAAAAAAAAGGGTCCATACCATATTCCGGCCCAGCAATACTTAGTTTACCAAGCCCATTGGAGACAAAAAGGCCCAACATAAGTTGTCAGCAGCTTAATTCACAACCCGGTCCATTTTCAGACAATCCCCAAATCACTCTTCTCACACAATCGATTAATCACCCACGATCATCTTCCACATCTCACATACAAAGCAAAAATGGTGCGGACAAGAAACCAAAGGCAAGGGAAGATACCCCGGAAAGGAACAGCTCAACAGTTCGCCGGCACCGGAGTTCCATCCAACCCGGTACGCATTGAAGAAGAAGAAGCCTCCACCGTCATCATGGACCCGGTCCCCATCTCACAAGTACCGTTCGAAGAAATCCAAGAAATTCGAAACCCTAGTCCAGGTAATCTTACAATAGATTTACATGGAGATTTCACAATTTCTTCACCCACTATGGATGAAACTAGAGACAATGTTCATTGTACTCACGAAGAGGAAGAAAATCCCAATGTTGAACCCTCACCTCCACACCACCCTCTGTCCGACCGAGAACAGAGGAGAAGGAAACGATCTGACCCCTACGAAGGGGCAGATCCTAGAGCAAAGAGGCCTAATGATTTTCTAGTTTCGGCTAGACCCCCCCGAGGAACCCCCAACATACCTCCTCCAAGAAAAGACAATACTAAGAAACAGAAAGAAAAAAACACAGAGGAAGAAGATGAATGGATACCTGATGACACAGAATTAGTAACAAAACCCACATAAGGAAAAAGAAGGAAACTAACTACCAAGGAGAAAGGGAAACAAAAGATTATTAGTTGTGCTGACCTGTCAAAACTGCCAAAGCCCTATAGTCCAAAATTTCTGACTAGGGAAAATGCCAAAGGATGGAATAAACTTGTGGAGAAAAGCATCATCAATCAGAAACTTCTAGAACTAGAAAAGCTGGAAAATCATGAACAAATATCTGATGCCCTAACCAAAAATCAACTTCTAGGGTCAGTCATGAATATATACCCTATGAGGAGCAAGCTATCAAGGAATTTTATAGTAACCTTACCAAAGCTACAACAAATCCCACTGATCCAATGTTTGGAAAAATCTATCTAAGAGGAAAATTCTATGTGTTCAGTCCTGAAATCATCAATGAATACCTAGGAACACCTTCAGGGGACCAAAATATTCAACTAGAAAGTGAGCAGGTAGCCAGTGAACTTACAGCCGGAAATGTGAGTTTTGATAAAAACAAAATCAAAGCTGCATCCCTAACTAGCAAGTATGCTATACTACAGAAGATTGCTCTCGCCAATTGGATGCCATCACGACATGAGTCTACAGTCAAATGGAGCCTAGCACAACTACTCTACAAAATAGGGAAGGGGATCAAAATCAACCTTGGAGTTATTATTCACTCACAGATTGTACACTATGCAGAAAACAGAGACTCAAAAGTCCTACTAATCTTTCCGAATCTCATCTACTCCATTCTAGCCAAGCAAGGGTTAAAATCGCAAGGAACAAAAGTTCAAGTCAAAACCTTGAACACAACCATTAAACTAAAGAGAGGAACACACCAAAACGACCTCAAAGCCTCAGTTCCAGTAGATAATCCAACAGATCAACAAACACTAGTCAGATACTTCGAAAAAAGGTTAAAAGAACTAGATGATTCAGAAAAACAATTACTACGAAAACACATGGGGATCAAAGAAGAAAGAGCAGAGATACTACAATGGTTAACAGCCCTAAAAGCAGGTAATGAAGATGATAATCAAGAAGTTGAAGAAGGAGACAGTGGCAGTCATGGCCAAGAAGAAGAAGAAGAAAATGAAGAAGAAGACCAAGAAGATAATGAAGAAAATGGCCAAGAAAATGAAGAAGAAAGTAGTGAAAAATCAGACTGAACATTCTCAAATGTTTAGCAAAAAGGGGGAGAAAAATTGTGGATGTTTTGATCTGTTCTTGACACTCTCAAGATTTCAGGTGTTCTGTTTTGATGCAAACAGTCGTGGATATTTTTTATCTGTTCTTGACACTCTCAAGATTTCAGGTGTTCTTTGATGAAAACTGTTTTGAC